AACGCTGTTTCACCATAAACTGGTTAAATTTAGAAACCCTCACAAACTCTCCCACAAATCCTGAGACCTTGTTGGTCCGTCTCCCACAGGCTCCGCTCCATGTCCTTAATGTACAACATGATAAGATGAGCAAGAGATGGGAAAATGAGAGAAAAAGGAAACTGAAGTGTGTGTGTGTAGTTTGTGTGTGTGTGTGTGTGTGGGGGTTCACTGTGTTGTGTTAGAGCAGAAAAAAGGATTTAGGCTCAGTCAACACAAAAACATTGGTTTGGAAACTGTGGGAGAACGACTGCAGGGAATCACTCTGATGTTTATGCTCTGTGAATCAAGGGGTTAAGACGACGGACTGAGGGGAGGAAAGAAAAGTCAGAAGAGGAACTGGGACGGAGTATTATAAAGCTATGGGTTTAAGAGATTCAATTGGAGGGAAATGGAAGTTAATATGAAATGGACTTGAATAATACGGAGAGGGGGGAAAAAAATCCCGAGCAGACATAATGGAAAACAGGATGTAACCTTGGAATTCCTGAAAGACAAGCTCAGTCTGAGAACCGGAGAGGGTAAAAGAAGAAGATTAATAAGTGCACCGACGCAGGCTTGACTCATGAGAAGACCCCGGCGTCCAAATCCCTCTCCAACAAACACACGTCGCTGCAGTTGCTCAGCCAAGGAGGTGATGTCATCATTCAGAACGGCTATGACTGCATTTCCTGCACCCGAGTAACAGAAAACCGAAACTAAAACCACAGCCATCGCTCGCTCAAACAATACGACGGCAGCAGGTGTCCTGGAGAACTCGCAGCGCTCAATCACTCCTCAGTCGTTCATAAGACACAGAGATGGACAAGAAAAGGGACCTGGAGAAATAACTAACGTGACGCCGTTTAATATTTAGCATCTTTACACCAACCATCTGCCCAGGACTGAGGGGGTGAGGGCAGAACGGAGGCCGACGTGTGCCGCATATGGTTTTTAATAATTCATGTGTGAGCCACCCCACCTCGGCCTTCTGCACTTTTAAGTGTTAGCGAGCCACATTAGTGCGGCCGACTGGACGTCGGCAGAGGAATAATTACACTCACAACAACACACACACACAGAGAGAGACGCGTGTGTGAACATTAAACGACAAGACAGGTGGGGGGGGGGCAAAGACAAGGTCCACAGGAGCAGAGAACAGAACAGGACAGGACAGAGAGTTCTCCAGCTAAAAGACATGACGACTCCTAACTGTGTTCACATAATTAACATTAACCCCCCCCACCACACACACACATAAAACTGCTAATCAAAAACATGGTTCCTGTCGTCACCACTAATGAAGAGGAATCCATAAAAAAAAAGAAAAATTTCTTATCCTTTGGCATTTCCTAAAATAGACCACCAAGAAAACGGCGTTCTCCAGGGCCGTACCTTCAGGGAACACAGAGGAGGTGTTCTGCATTAATAAATAAATAGGCTACATGACTCTAATTACTAACAAGAGAGGATTTCAGATTTACCCTCCACGCATCTGGGTGAGGAATGCTCCCCCATGTTTATGTTAATGGGTGGTTTGCACTCAGACTTGCCAAGAACCGAGGAGGGGGGATGTGAACCTATGTGCTTCTAATTAATAAACTCTCCTTAGGGGGAAAATGTGCTGAGGGAAGAGTGCGGCGTGACTCCAACAAACGCACGTCTTCTTTCATGTCAGGGCGGTGAACATGTGAGTGAGTGAGCAGGAATAGAAGCAGGTTTTCAGGTCGTTTCACAAACTCATGAACTTCGCTCCCCCCACCCCCCAGCAAAGAGTTTACCAAGAGTCACACGTGAACAGAAGTGTGTATGTGTGTGTGTGTGTGTGTGTGAATGGAGTCTTTTGATTGATACAGCTGATCCTGGATTATCCAAATACCTTGAAGAGTTTTAATTTCTTAGGAATGCTGCTGAGATTTGCGTAAATTAGAGCAAATTCTCAACTGCTGGGGCGTGACCCAAACTAAGGTCACAGTGCATTTACGCTGCTTCACAGTAACACGCCTAACTTTCCTGAAGGGAACTCCCGAGGGATTAATAAAGTGCTATCTATCCATCCATCCATCCATCCATGCATCCATCCATCCATCCATCCATCCATCCATCCATCCATAGTGTGAGTCGACATTTTAAGAGATTAAAGAAGACAGACAAAGTCTACTGACATTTGTTATATGAGCAGAATACAACACAAGTACAACACACAGACTTTATGAAATATGGATTTTCTTATATTGAAAACCAGCAGCATTTGGAAACAAAAGACCATTCGGTCAAGGATTAACCTGAAGGAGACTTCAGAAGAAACTTCAAGGTTGTTTTTACTTTATCGTACTATGATATTTTATCTCAGGTTCAAACTGGATCATCTTCTCATTCAATAAATCTTGATGATGGCAAAAACATGTACAGTTTGTTGGGAACACAGTGATTTTATAAAAACCTTTATTTTGTGAGAGAAGCGATCGCTCATGGGCTTGTTGGATATCAAACTTTTTCTTTTGGTTAAATCTTACAGTTTCTCTTGTTTTTTTCTGCTGAGACATCAACATCACAGCTCAGTGCAGCAAAACATCATCAACTTAAATGATGAGACGTGGAGTTTAAGGTTTAGACCTGAGGCAGGAGAACTGTTCTGTGTTTGACAACAAAGAGCAGCACCGGCAGCGCTTCCTTCTCACCCTGCTGTGTTTCACCTGAACAGATGTTAGAGGTAAAAAGTGGAGACGTACCTGTGATACCGAGGGTCTCTTCTCCCGCCCTCGCTTCGTCAGGTTATCCAGGCCTTTCAGTGAGGTAAACAGACTTTTCTTGCGCTGCCTGTAGGTCAGGGACAACGAGCGCCTCCGGAGTGTGGCTTCGTCTCTGGAACAGATCTGATCAGGACACACAACAACGTAAGGGTCTCTCAGTTCAATCAGAACATCGTGATTCGATTGATTTTCCTTTTGTATTATGATCAGGTTTTCCTGGTGTTCCTCACCAGTGCATGGAAGGAGGACACAGAGAAGATCCCCAGGCGCCCCAGTGTGGATTTCGTTGGACGGCTGGCAATGGCCAGAAGGCTTTTAGGGTTGGGTAACTCTCCGCCCTGAAGACTGGCCAGGTAACAGCGCATCCTGAAGAGATCCATGTTGAACTTCTCCAGATTCTGCTCCCACTGTTGGATCTGGAGGAAAAGGGAAACAATTATTTAAAAAAAAAGTGGTTCCCAGAAGATTTGCAGGTGCCTTAGCAAAGGGGGTTTAAGGGGAGGTAATAGCTTCAGGGAGGCAGGGTGGGGGAGAGGGGAGTCAAAGAGGCAGATGGGAGGTCAACTTAGAACATTCCATGAGATGGAAATTGTTTGCAGATGTTGGTGGAGGTGAGGGCATGCGTCGACGGAGGTTTGATAGTGAAAATGTGCGTATGTATCCGAGAAGTAGTAAATCTACATGCCTGTTTTATTTAAGCGAAGAGGGGATTGTGATGTTACACAGACCCCTTCCCCCCTCCCCCCCAAATACACACAGACATCACAGTTGCCGTCTCCCATTTCACTGTCCACAATGTAATGTTTTTTTGTTGGCTGGAGACCTGTTTTAACGACAACACTCAAATGAAACAACCCTCTGTAACAACGGCCTTTAATGGGTCTCGTCTGCACCGCCGGTTCATTTACAATAACTCACCCCGTGGTGCCGTCCCATTAGGCCCCCTTCACATTTATGGCATTCTTTAAAATCAGAAAGAAACCACGCAGGTATCCCAGGGTGTCGTTTTATGAACCTCTCACTAATCTTACACCTTAAACAAAGACCCGTACGGAGATTGTTGAAGGACCCGTCAGAGCTGTAAAAAATGTTTTTATCTACACAACAGTGGCCTGGGTCAACTGGTGACATTCAAACAAAATGCCTCTGTAAAGAGCATGAAGTCAGCGCTTTGAGATTCACACATTTTGGGTGAAAATCCTTGCATTTCCAGCGAGTGATTAATGGCATGTACTTGAGATTTTATCCTCAACAAATCAGTGCAGTTTAAATCTGAAATATGAGTTCCACAAGGACACGGCACTGTACCAGACGTGTGTCCTTCAGTCAAACAATTTTTCAAACTGCTCTGCCAACGTGAGACATATTTCGACCCTCAAACACAGATACAGAAATTTTAAGAGAAAAAAAAAATCACAATCAAGTCAAACAGAATATTAGCTAAAGAAGATTTCGGCAGTTTGTGACCAACAGCTTTCACTGACATTTCAACTGACAGTCAGAAAGTACGGAGGCAGCGGTGGCTTAGTGGTTAAGGAAGCGGACTTGTGTCCGGAAGGTTGCAGTTTCGAATCCACCAACCACCAGGTACCACTGAGCTCAGCTTGAGGTGCTGGGTTAAAGACAGAGGTCAGATTTTGTTGTGTGGTGCGCTGAGTCGCAATGACAATTTAATTTACACATATAGTTACTGCCACTTAAAACTGGGATAAAGACACAACCCACCAAGTCATTCTGTGAGGCTGGTGGGAGCTTAAAAAAATGTCTGCTTCACAGCATATATCAACCTTAAATTACTAATAATGCATTTCATGATGATGAGCGATCAAGGAGCAGAGATCTATTAGTGTGTTTTTAAGGACAGGCAGCGTAACTCCATCAACTTCACCCAAAATCTGACTCACATTCTGTAGTTCTGGATTAAGAGATCTCTGTTTGACGTCTCTGATTTTTGTAATTTTTCTGATTTGATTGTGAGTTTATTTTTTATTTCACAGAGCAATATACAATATTTGGAGCTTGAATAAATAATAATCATCTGCAGAAACATTTATAAATACGTAATACTTTTTAAGTCTTTCAGTTGTAACTGGCTCTTTGAGGGTTCAACCGTATTGCTGATGTGACACCTGGTGAATATGAGTTTGACGCCCCCTATCTACAGCATATCAAACTAACAACTTAGCCTTTGGTGACTGACGGTCAGAGTCAGCAGGTTTTTACTTTGATAAACACTTTTATATCGGAGGTTTTTCTTGGCAATGCTTCCCCCAAATCTGATCTCATCAACCCTTGCACATTAATCCTCCGATGTTTTAATATGCAAAGCATCTTTTTTATTGCAGACATATTTAGGTCAAAGTATGAATTTATGCGCAGAGTTTATTACCAGTGAGTACTTTAGAAATGAGTTTTAAAAGAGCAGAGCAGAGTACCACAGAGCTCATCAGATTACATGTTCTATCTCAACAGCAAAGCAATAAATGAAAGTCAGGAATATTCAGATTGATTTTTTTTTTCTGCTTGGGTCTACAGATTGTAAACAGAAATCCTTACCTAACGTTGCAGCTTTGAACAAGTGCGATAAAACAACAAACCGACATTTATAAAAGCAGCCACGCTTTTATAAAGTCTGCCTGACTTGTGTGTAACACTAACGTAGACACATTTCAGAGATGTTCAGATTTAAAATTAGTCATCAGCAGATTCTCATCTCTGCCTGGCACACTCACTCTCTCTCTCTCTTTTCCATCTGCTCCACAGTCCCTCCAACGACTCTGATGCACACGTCTTCCGATGTAACTCGGGCGTGTGTGTGTGTGGACGTGTGTGTTTGTGAGTAAAAGGAGGTAAACGCACACTTCAAAAGAGATCAGCTGGCACTGATTTTAGTAGACATGGGTGGGGGTGGGTGGATACATCAAAGTGGTGCCCTGTTGGTGTAGACAGCCCCGCCAAAACCTTAAATCTATCATCAGCCTCTGGGCGTCCGTACCAGAGTCTTGTCCCGTACCCCTCTGACCCTATCATTGACTCCAACCTCGTCTGCCTCCTTGTCAGCCAGTTAAATGGAAACAGATCCAGGCCCACGAGCCCACTCAGGAGGCAGGCAGGGACATCTCCATCTGAGGCCGGCGTGAACAACGAACACGGGTCAGGGTTGGTATTAAATGGACAGAATGGCTATGAATAAAAAATAATATATATATGTTTTTCTATCTACTTTGGCCTGGTGTCTCTTATATATTGTTTTTAAATAAAAATATATATATATATCTACTTAGGCCTGGTGTCTCTTATATATTGTTTTTTTGCACAGACTTCTGGGTAACATTTTTAACAGTTAAAACCATACCCTACAGGTGGCAGTAAAGCAACTCTACAGTTTCCCAGATGTGGGTAAACCCTTTAAAAAAAAAAAAAAGAAGAAGTGTGGTTTAAGTGGTTATCAGGATTTGCTGAATTTAGCCCAGCCTTGGAGAAGATTACTCACTTTTCTAAGTAACCTAGTTCTTATTAAAAAAAAGAAAGATTCTGCTGTGAAAACTGAAAACTTCTCAGATTTGTAAAATGTATTACAGAGGCTTGTTATCTGTTAGAGACGTACAGCTCCACAGAGGTTTAATCCCTAAGTCCTGAGTCTCATAGCCAAAAAGAAGAAGGCAAAGAAATTAGTAGGGAATAAAAGGCAGAGTTCTATCTCTCTTGTCTTTACAAAGACCACCAAGTAGAACAGCCTCATAAATATGACTTTTTCCTTTTGTGTTTTTTTCCAAGTGTCTGACCCCCTGAGTTGCAGGTTTAAACCAGCAGCTGTGTTCTTCAGTGTTTTTCCACAAAAACAAGTGATGATGGAGCTCTTTGTAAAAACATTTGTGGTCCTGATGTTCACAGGTCAATGACTTTATAAACACATATAATTACTACCTGGATTTCGGAATAATACTGTGTACCTTTTTTTTTTCTCTCTGCCACAGGCTATGAGGAAAGGAGACGAAGAAGGAGAGTGCATTTTTTAGAGCCCATTACCAGAAAACATCTGGAATGCTAATCTGATGTTCAGGGATGCAAGCTGCCTCCTCGGTCCCATACGGTGCCTGGAAAGACTAATGCTTTCAGGCCCTTTTGCTCACACAGACAAAAATAAAACAGTAGGCCACACTATGTGGTTGCTAAATGTAGCATGCAGAAAAAAAAAGATTTGCAGCCGAGTCTGAGAAATCAGCTGATTATAAAATGACACAGCAGATTTGGCACATACACAGTGTGTTCCTCAGCCATTACACACTCGTTAACTCATTAACTCCACCACGTTCACGCACAGCCCCACAGTCTAAACTTTTAAACTCTACCTGGTTCTCGATTGCTCTGCGGTTCTTCGGGTCTCTGACCACCGTCAGCTGCAGCTCGGCCATCTTCTTCATTTTTCCGTCCATGTCGATCTTCTGCAGCAGCCCTCGGACCTGGCTCCGCAGCAGACGCACCGTGTCCTCCTTCCCCTGGCGTTTAGCCAGCAGAGAAGCGCTGGCAGAGTGGATGGCTGTGACCCAGTTCTCCAGGTCGGTCTGATTGGTGGCCTGGTGTGGGGAAAAACAGGCGTTTGTTTTTCTTAGTAGTAACCAAGCAAACATTTGTGATTATATTTCCTCAGCTTCAATATTTTAATACCACCCACACATCACAGATTTTAACCTTCATGCATCTGCACTTGTTTTTTTTTTTTTGTTAACCTTCATGCATCTGCACTTGGTTTTTTTTGTTTGTTTTTTTGAGGCGTCTTACCTGAAATAAGTAAACATCTCCGTATAGGCGTCATACCTGAAATAAGTAAACATCTCCGTATGAGTTGCTGAGGCAGAAGACATTTTCCCTTTTGGGATGTTCAGGAACTGCCTGGACAATGCTGTCCTCCGCCAAGAGTGCGTAGCGTGGCGACAGCTCCTGCTCCGGAGAGCCTCTACTGTAAGTTTCGTAGAACAACAACGTACATCCTGGAAGACAGTGTGCGAGGAAATAGACAGAACAAGGGTGTAAGTTTGGACAGCAGTAGGATAATCCACTGAAAGAATTAAAATTGTTCTTTTCTAAGGTAGTAAATATAAAAACAGTAACCAAGTCTAGTGGTTCAACGATGAAAGAACAAGCTCACCTTTTAAAGTCACCCAGAACTGTTTCCACTTGCGACGCGTGACCAGCTCCAGCTTCCTGTCCTTGTGCAGCGTGGCGAGGGGTTTGAACGACAGCCAGCCCGCTCGTCTGACAACCCCCTGCTCCTTCTCAAACAGTTGGTCCAGCTCCTCCAGAGAGCCCTCCGCCGATTCACTGCTGCTCTCCCCCTCCTCAGTGCCAGTCGATGGGTCTCTCCTATCACTTCCTCCCTCTCCCCCACCTGCCTGTCCGGTATCCATGTCCAACTCCCTCATGAAGTTCTCATAAATGTTCTGGCGGAGGGCATCGCTGGTGGTCTGGGTAATGGCTCCTGAGGACTGGGCCTTGGACGTTCCTGGGAACCAGTGAAGGCTGGAAACCTGGGAGGGTGAACTGGTGTCCGCAGTCAGACCATCAACTCCACTGTCGAAAGCGTCACTCAAGTCCTTGAATCTGGACTCCTAACGAGATCATTAAAAAACCATGGTGAGAATGGACTAAGAACAAAGGACATCAGACCTGATCCAGTATTATATTTTAAAATAGCATCCAAAAAAAACATGTTAACCACAGATATTAAACCACTGTTTTCATCCAACAATAACCATGAGCTCATCCGGACAGATATTCTTTATGCAGAATTTAATCCTAAAATATGTAACTGATCCTATCCATTATCCCCTGGGCATTGGAGAATCACAGGAGAAACTGTGACGGAGAACCTCGTCAAACCACTCTGAGCGACTTCAAAGTCTACATTACGATCCCCAAATCTTTTGCAGGGCTGAGAAAGTGGGACAATTTCCTGCGACGGCACCTGGGAGGTTGGACCCCTCCAGGCCCCAGACTATTTCACATCATTTTCGGGTCTGCCTCGACTCTCCAATTCTTCAAATGAACACTTGAAGGAACTGCACTCTTCCCGGGACTAATGACAGCCTACCAGCACTTGAGTAGATTGCAGCATCAATTTTGCCTCTGGCAACATCATCAAGTTCTCTCAGCATGCTCACATATTGGTGATGAAAAAAAAAAAGCCAATTCTCCATTTTTATTCATCTTCTTCAGCTCTGCCCCTTCCTTTTTTTCTAACCTGTTGTTTTGTGCCATTTATATATTAACTTAATGACGGCAAACACATCAGCATTTTTTCATTCCTCATCATGGAACCAGACATAATTGCTGTTCAGCTGCAGGGCTGTAAGTGAACTCCCTGAACCCACAACACGGACTTGATGACAGCCCGTTACTTTCACCCTAATGTTGAAATACTACATTTGTAGAAAAACTTTGTATTCTCTAGAACACAGGTCACCAACCTTTTTGAAATAGAGAACTACTTGTTTAATACAGACTTTACAAACAATGTACTAATAATTATTCTGGGACAGATATTAGCAGACACTGTTCTTACCATCATCATTGCACCGATTTGAACATCATTGCAGGTGTAACTGATTTAAAAAGCACAGTAGCACTACATTTTTTGACCCTCTTGTTGACTAGTTTCTTTTTTAAAACATGGGGGCTACCAGGTACCCCCAGGGCAGAACATAGGGTTAGAACATAGGGCACCTTAGGTAGTCTATGGGGGCTACCAGGTACCCCCAGGGCACCATGTTGGTGACCCCTGCTCTAGACGGCAGTTCTTCGTGTTACTGAAACCATCAGCAGCACCATCCACCCCCACCACCACCCCACATTCCTTTTTCAGTAACCTTTTTCATCAGAAGCAGGTTCGTTGCCATCGGGGTCACACTGTGACCTTTGAACCCATAACAGAGCTCTTAAGAAACTTGAGTATCTGGTTTTGGTTGATCCATATAGTATTTGAACATAAACCTTGTTTCTCCTATCAAACATTAGCATAGCTAGCTCCTGTCCTGAACTTTACAAAACTGTGACCTTTTATCTTATAATAGCAACAACAGCAGCTGAGTTTCCTGCAAAAGCACAAACAGGTTAAAAAAAAAAACCTTAAATGTCAAATTGTTTTGGACTTGAAGACATTTTTTGTGTCATATCACTTATTCTTTTCTTTGCTTTTATTCACACAAAGATGCCCTTTAGAGCTGCGTTGTCCCTGAAGGCCCGGTCTGGCTTCTTATAATTTATCACCAGCACCTGAAGCCGTCGGTGGATTTGTTTTCTTCGGCCAAGCACCGCTTATTGAAATGACTCCTGAGGGTTTGTGCAGACAAAGCCGTCAGACTCATACATCTGGATAAATAAGTAGGTTCCAGTTATTGTGTGTGTACGTCTTAACAGGTTAAGTCCTCACACACTGCAGCAGATTAGTATTATGAGGGTAGACATTATTAATCTGAAGTGAAAGCTATGAAACACTGTCGGTGTGCGGCACTTGTCACTGTGCACTCGGGACACGGTGTGAATGTAGTGATTATTCCTATTCTGTACTGCAGTTTGTTGTCTGACCCGGCTGACTGAACGCCAATCCTTATTGGCAGATTTACTCTCGCAGGGACTGTGAGGTGAACCCAGAAAATCCGCAACACACAACAGCCAGAACAAAAGCAACAAAGGTCATTCCTTAACATTAGTGGGAGGGGGTGGGTATAAGACTCAAACGAGGATTTAGTTTCTCTCTAATACGGCCTCTCACAGGCTTACAGACATTCTCCCAGGAGTGCCTAGACAACAAAACTTAGCTGAATGAATTAATGCTGCGACAACTGCTTTAAAGCCTGGGAGTAAAATATGATCTGAGTCCGGTCTCTGTTGAAACAATACTGAAGCTCTGTTTACTCAGTTGCAGAGCTAAAGTACACTTTTGTTTAGAACACCTACAAAAAACATGAAAACAAACTGTGGTTATTTGCAGCATCTTCTCCCTGCCAGTATCACAAGTACCATCTTTACCTCTGGGAATCATATGTACATGTACAACAGTTGTTAACTCAGAATATTGTACATTAGCCAAAGAGTTTAACTGAGACTTTAGCTTTCTTCCTAAGCTGAGCAAAAACGATCACATTTACCTACCTAGATACAGTTCCTATGAGATAAGGAGAGCGTCTCCTGACTTCTCATCCTCACAGAATCATCCTTGTCTAACAAGTGAAAGAGTGAATATCTTTCGTCCTCGTTTTATTAATATCGTCACAACAAGACCGGGGGCTGGATGGCTGACAAATTTCATTTCGTGAGCCCCCACTGTGCTGTGTCCTCAGACAGCTGGTGTTGTGCTGCTAAGGACCACAGGACGAAGGCCGGTAACTGGCCATGCCAGGACAACCACGGCAGCTCATTAACCAAAAAAACAACAAAAAAGAAAAACATGTCCCTGTCTAATAAACTGTTCCTCTAAAGTACATGATCCCAGAAGTCATTTATAACCACAATTTGTGTTTTCACACCATTCAGCTACTTATAGGGTCTGTTTGGGTGGAGAAGGTTTTAGACGAATGGAAAAAAACAATCTCAATAAATATGATTAAAACTGGACTACGGACCATAGGCCGGGTATCGTAGCAATGTTCACAGCAGTACAAAGCCCTGTGGTGAAATAACTTACCTGTGACTTTCTCTTCTTGCGGCTGAGACTTCCTGTCCAGTCACTCAAGCGCCTGATGCGATTTTTGAGAGATTCCCTCTTGAGGGTGCCTAAATCAGACACACCCTGCTCCTGGAGCTTCTCCTGGTCAGTGTAGTTGACTAGGTCGTCACTAATGGTGTGGGCTTTGGGCCTGCGGCAGGGCAGTGTGTACGATGAGTACTGCTGGACTTTGGTGGACTCTTCCTCTAAGGGCACATCCAGGACAGATGCGACTGAGGCTCGGTGTGAACTCTGACGTGGCGGAGGGTCCTGTAACTTGGACTGGAGGTCACTGGCGTTGGGAAAGGTGGCGGCCATTGAGGAGTCCCTGTAGAAGTTTATGATCGGGGGAGACTGTTGGGTGAACGAGTCAAGCTGGTGAATAGGGGAGTGAACTGAAGTCCTGCTGGCAGAGCAAGGCTGGTCTTGCTCACAGAGCTCGGTGCTGGGCCCCCACGGAGAGTCATACCAGGAACCATCGGAGCTCAAAGAGCTCCCTTTGCTGGTTCTTGCTGTGGATGAGGTGGAGGCCTGCGGTGGGCCGCTGCAGTGGCCATCCGGCCCACTCCCACTGGATCCAGGCAGACTGGGAGTAGAAGCAGATTCCAGGTTTGGCGAGAACTTGAGGAGTTGTACGGGACCGTTGGCCTCCTCCAGAAGGAGGGGGTTTCCTGAGGTGTTTGTGAACTCCACCCTGAGACTGCCATCCTTCTTGATCACCACCCGTGGACTACTTTGTTCCTCCAAAGTTTCCTGTTCCTCACTGTGTTTATCCTGTGGGTTTACACTAGGCTCGGCCCCATACGGATTATCCTCGTAATCATCAGATATACGCCGTCTTCGTAAACCACATCCAGCAGAGCGATGCCAACGATGCTCACCTGGGCTGCATCTCAATCCCTTGGACAAGTAGTCACAGTGCCTGGTGGTGTAAGGCTGTTTGATTTTAGGAGGGGACAAACAGCTACGACCGACACACCTGGCCTTGTACCCTGAGCCTATTGGAGCACTTTTCCACCATGTGTGCGGTGACATGGTGTCATCTTTGGCTGAGCGGAACTTTAAAGAACATGGCTTCTGTTTCCCAAGGAAGACAAAGCTGGTGCCTTTGGGCCCCTGGATGCTGTACTGGCTCTCTGAATTACCCATCTCTGTCTGGGAATAAGCTGGAAAGACAAAAACCACAACGTCACTAAAAACATTTACAAAAAAAGGATGACAAGAATTTTTAAATAAGTTTACATGTTTATGCCAAATTTCAGGAATTACACATTTGGGCTCTTTTCTTGTTACCTAAAGATTAGGATTCCGACCAGAGGATAATGAAAGTGGAATGGACAGGGAAATGTAAAGTGACGTTTAAAAGTCAAAAAGTCACTTGTCTAATTTTTTTTAACTAAATCCAAGTCCTATTTTATTGTAGTCTTTACATTTTCTTTATACAGTCCATGAGTGAGTCCAGAGGTTGTGTAAGAGCAAGGATTTAGACAGTTTCACCCCTGGGGTGCACAAGCTGCCTCTAGGGGGTGCACAAGATAAAAAACATTTCCTTCTGTAAAATGTCAAATAATATCAGCATATCGGATATCAGCAAAAAGTTAATATTGAACATCCATAGTTTTTATTTTTTTGCATCAACTCGGTTAAGATATGAAAGCGGATGCGTAACCAAAAAGGTTTGGGAAATGCTGGGTTACATATCGGATATCAGCAAACCAAAAAGGTTTGGGAAATGCTGGGTCAGAAAAATGATGAACACATTACTCATTCACAATAATAGCTGTTAAATAAAAGGCACACATATTTCAACACATAACTAATTAATTTGCTGCAGCAGGCCTAATGCCTTCCTGATGATTCAAAATACCATGTTTTTTTTAGTTCTTTTTTAGTTATTCTCTCACATCTGGTCTAAAATACCATGTTTTTTTTAGTTATTCTCTCACATCTGGTCAACAATCTGCCTGCTCTTCAGATGAACTTTTACTCTACTACAGCTCTCTGTATTTCATCTACTGGAGTCACGTCAAAGGCTAGGACCCTCTAAATATCACGGTTGTTATATGTGACAGAGACAAAGAAAACCAAAATGTCTTCCAGACCTTGCACAACACTCTTACATTAGTGACAAAGAGCCATGACCAGACAGATGTTTTACTCCAGGGCTGACACCGTGGGAGTAAATTTCTGTGACAGAACTACACGATGGGCCCCGTGTTCTACAGCAGATCGACGCTGATAAAAAGTCTACCTCTGCACCGATCTGAAAACAATAATATCTGCGTTTTTATACTGCGGTGAAAGGAAAACTGACAGATGTTGAAGTATTTCTTAGTATAATTACAGTGACAGTCCTGTGATGAAGACAGTTCCTGGGCGCACCTGTTTGACGCCACGTCTCAGATCGGAGTTCCCATCAGCGCTCCTCTCCACCTCATTTCCGAAAATAGACTCTTTGCTCTTCTGTCACGCGGCTCATCTGAAACACACAGAAGAAGAACTGACTTAGCACTGAGCCGTCTGTCCAATCACTGTAATTTACTTCATGTGTTTGATAACAGGCGTTCCAGTTTAAAGTGGACGCTAATCCCCCAGCACTTCAGAGAAAGACAGCGTTATGAAGGCATTGGCATAAACAAAGCACGGCTGAAACACCAGTCAGGTCCCACTGCTGTTTGAAAAAAAAGTCTTAGTTTTAGTCTAAAATGTTCTTTGTCTGGAAAACTTTGTTATTATTGGCTTCACAAACGATATAGTTAAATGAAAATGATTCCTCCCAAAATCTATGAAGGAGAGGACCAAATGAAAGGGTTGCAGTGTACAAGATGGCACAGGGAAGAAGTGCCACCCTGTCACTGAAGTCTGACTAGTTTAAAAAAAAAAACCTCCACTTTTAGTGTACAGTTCCCAAACCAAACATTAGTCACATTTTTCCACTTCCTCACAACTAAATGATGTAGCCTTTGATCAGAATAGGAAAAGTTTTCGGAATGTGGCTACAGTTTGCCTGACTGTTTATTTTTGAACCTGGAATTCTAGATTGCTGCTTTTTTTAAACTTGTCGCTGCCAAATTTGTACAGGAGCAGGATCCAAACCCAGAAACGGCCGAGGCCCGCGCGTACAAACCAGACTCAGACATTTTCTAAGAAGCAGAGGGACTCCGTCTGCTGTGTGTAAATCACCACACCTGCATTAGGCCCACTCTCCAGGAAAGTTTTCACAAAGTACTAAGTCTTCTGAGCACAACAACACACAGTACTGCATGTATAAAGTTACAGTATAAACAGCCAACTGCCAAAAACTGCTAACGTTCAGGATCCAGTGTTTAGAGTTTTTAGGCTCTGCTCTGATGCACCTCCACAGTAAAGTGTGGTGAGATCGGTGTGTTTGACCACTGAGGCCATTATTGACTATAAAAATGATGTTATTTATAAATGGAGAACATTAATAGATCTTGAAGGATCTTTAAACACTGGACTTGTTTCCAGTGAGTGAGTAACAAATGAATGAGAAGAGATAATGTTTATATGTATATTTACCTTTAGTTTATATTTTGCACAATTTTGTTTTGCACCACTTATGTATATATACATATATATAGTCATACCTCAGATTAGTTACTCATGGCCTACAACTTGTGTACTGTGTACTCCGGTTGCCAAGCAACGATTCACTGTTTTTTCTGTTTCTGTGCAATGCCAATAAAGAAAGTCTAAGTCTAAACCCCTGTATATTTATGAGCAGTACCAAAAATATTTTTGAAATTTTACTTCTCAGTCAGAACTCTTCTGTGCTTTACATGTCGTTGGTTATTTACAGCTTAGTCTTGTCGGGGTAGATAAGGTGAACTGAACCCAACTTTAACTTTTATGCTCATCAACTGCTAAGAATTAACCCAAAAAAAAGCAGAAAGAACTAAGGTCCTCTTCTGTAACTTCCTCCACGTGAATAGGAAATACCATTGTGCCTATAGTATCACAGTATATTGCAATATATTGTATTGTTGCCCTTGTATCGTGATACGTATCCTATCGACAGATTCTTGCCAATAGACACCACTAATAGGAAATTATATAAACAAAACTCTTCTAGGAGTAAAACCAGAGAGGAACACCTGCTGGGAGTCGGCCAAAAGCCTGTTGTCCAACTTGTCACAGTGACTGCGTTCTTTTCAACAGTTCCACTGATGCCTTTCTTGCATGGCTTATTCATGCAGCGCAGCACTACAAGTGTGAATGTTTCAAAGGCGTGCCAACGCACTGACCAAAAAGACGCACACGTTTGCCTTCTGCTGCGAGCTGAAATGGATCATTGTGTTACTGTTTTGCAGAAAAAAAACCAACAAGACAAGTCTTCCTTTTAGCTGCAAACTGGCCCCGTAGTCTGAACTCTCCCCTCCCTCTGTCCCTTCAATCCTCTGTTCTCGTCAATGGGTTTCCTACAGGCCATCTGCTCGGGGGCCCGGGGACCACTGCCACTCCATTCCTCCTCGACACACCCCGTGACCCGGCATTCTTCTCAGGCTGCCCCTGGGTGACTCCCATGTACGCTCCGTGTTTAGTCTGGCACTGGTTTTGTCCTGGGTTTGGAGCATGGAATAACAGTGGGCCCATTCCTCAACATGGTATAAACACAGTAGGTAAAATGAAGTACTGAAGAAGTAACTTTACTTCAAGACCACCAGGGAAAACCAGCAGAGCGGCAGCCACGCCCTCAAAGTCACTGTTGTATTTCTGAATCTTGTGTTCTTTTAATCACACAGAGCTGGAGGAACAAAATATTGACACAGCAGTGTGAAAAACAAAGTGGTTCCCTGGGGGGAGGTAAGCCATGAGGTAACAGCCCAACTCTCTTAACTGTGTTTTCTCCGTGTACTCTACTCCCAATATTAGAAAAACTTTACAACAGCATTTTACTGAATCTTTCTACATTAACTACAAAGTCCACTTTCAAACAGGGACTAACCATAGGGCAGAATGTTTAGTTAACTTGTCTAATCTAACAGCATCAACCAAGTGATGATTAAAGTAGCCAAAAAAAACAGTCATCAAGGTGCAATGATTTAAAATGATCAGCCCATGAGCTAGAAATGATGAGGTAATGTGTTTTTGGTAGGGTCTGTTTAAACAATAGCACTGCCTTCCTCCAGTCAAATCACTGCCCGTGGGACTTGTGTCTCTTATCACTTTCCTCTGGCTCTGAAACGAGTGAGCTGTTAAAGGAGCAGCGGGGTTTTTTTTTTTTTTTTTCAAATAGGTTGACTTGTTTGCACGGATCAGTTACAAACGAAAAAAAAAAAGCTGCTGTGTTTAATATTTGATGATACCCTTTCTTTTATTTTGTGGAGTTATCCATCACCTACGTCAGGGGTATCAAACTGATTCACCCCAGGGGCTGAAATTTAAAACAGAGTCTACGACGAGGGCCAAACAGAATTAACCTATTACTGAACAGTGGGGGTGTACGAACATATACTGTTACACAGAAATACTGTGATATTTCTTTTCACAATACTATTTTTTTCCATTAACGATAAACATGCAAATATTCATGACATTGAATATTTTTTTTCCATAAACATGCAAATATTCATGACATTGATTTTATTTTGTTTTTCTTTCTTCTCTAGTGATTCCAAATGTAGATCCCTCTGTTCCAATGTTAGTAACCTGATGTTCAGATAGAACAGAGTTGAGTCTTTACTAGGATTGCACTTTGACTACAGTTATATTGTTTTGTTTTTTTTAAACTCAATATATCGCCATGAGTCTTTACTAGGATTGCGCTTTGACTACAGTTATATTGTTAGTTTTTTTTTAAACTCAATATATCGCCATGCCTATAGTATCGCGGAGCATCGCAATATATTGTATCGTTGCCACCTACCACTGCAGTATGAGGCAGAGAATCATCACTGAAGCCAGAGATCAGGATGATTCCTATTAGGTTTGTGAATCATATATATATATAAAAAAAATTGAAAATCTGGAAGAACCGTCTTGCTATAAAAAAATGAAAATCTGGAAGAACCGTCTTGCTATAAATCAGTTGCTGAAGGCCACATTACTCTGTGGTATACTCAGACCCCGAGCCAAAACCACCAAACATCTAATAAAGTGCTTCTTAAGAGTGTTCTGGACTTCAATATATGTTTAAAAGCTTCTCACCTGGCGCTCATCCAAAAGAATATATACAGGCCTAAAGTTAAAGATTTATATAAGGAGTATTTACCTACTGTGGTGCAAAGGAAAAAAAAGTTTTCAATATGTAGACCGTAGAACAATGCCGTTGGTAATACACATGTAAACAACCGCCAACTCACACTGTTGAAGAGTGTGACAGCTGTGCAGGCATACAGTAAACAATGTTATCTCTTAACCTCGCCTGCTCTTCTTACAGAAAACTGAGAAACCAAAGAGAACAGGAGATAGAACAAACACCCTTACCTCTGTGGACCAGCTTTAATCTAACAGCTCTTTGAAATGGTCCAGCTCCTGCCCTCTGATCTCATAGTGGATTCTCTCTGTGAAGGCTAGTTGACTATTAGAAGCACACACGTTGCATCTGACTCACCCACCCAGACAAAGTGGAGGACGTTCGGAAACTCCCTCCCAACTTTGTAGCAGCAGCAAATCACAGTCCACAGCTGGGGTAACCCTGGGTAACAGAGAGCCAAGAGGCAAAACCGGCGAGTGGGGAGGAAACCTAAAAAGTTCTCTCTCTCTCTCTTTCTCCCTCTCTTTCACTGCAAAGACACTCCAGTATTCCACACTGTGATTTTTCCTACATCCTGCTTTTCCGTTGGCTTGCAGAAGGATGCAGGGCTTGTAACCGGCAAGGCAGTTTTCCGTAGTAGTTGGAAGCGATTGGTCAGGCCAAGCCGGCGCATAATGACTTCCGTGCTGCCTGGGAGGCACTGGGGAGGGCGCAATGACTAGAGCTCTTGTCTGACCCTAAATACCACAATGACCCCAAGAGGAGGGCCAGGAAGGCGGCCAGCTACTGGGGAGACAGAAAGACAGACAGGGTGTGAGTGTGAGTGTTTACATGTGTGTGTTAATGAGTAAGTGTGAGTGAGTGAGGGAGAGGGAGAAAGAAGAAGGGGTCAGTACGTGAAAACAAACTCTTGTGTGTAATAGTAAAGAGAGAAGGGACGCATGAGGAAACAGAGACGCCTTCATGGTTTAATGTTTCTATGAGGAAAGACAACTCATAACACAGCTATTGGAACAAAAAAGTCAACTGGATTAAATAATCAAAGGCAGATAGTCAAAACTTTCTCTGCAAATAGAATCAAACCCCTGAATGTGTTGTGACTCAGCCCTATTCCAGCAGAGACAAAAATGAGACCGCTGTCAGGCTAAAAAACACAGGCATGCCTCCATTTGTCTATGGTTCACATATCTGTGGTCACACAGTCAAACTGGACCCGTTCAAACAGCCGCAGCAGAACACAGAGATGCATCAGAGTTGGATAGAAAATGTCAAGCTGTTTTCAGTTTCCTTAAACCAAAAAGCCCAACATTTAATGTTCAGGGGCAACAACACAAGGAAAAGAAAAAGTTCCTGCCGTTCAAAATATTTAGCTATTCATGTCATGCTATATGAACAGATGTGGAATGGTCTTTCATCGGCCTGCTGCCTGACATAGACATCAGCTGCGCGGCACAAGATCAGCAGCGTTCACCAGGGCTAAACAACATTGTTAACTGCACAATGGTGCGTGTAGCTCAGTCTGGGCTCCCCTCAAAGCCCTTTGTCAGGCTGTAGATGGAGGCAGCTAAAAGGTTGGTCCACAAACACACTCACACAGAGCAGGAGGCATGGCCACAAAAAAAAGCTCCAAGGAGGAAGAAAAGAATGACTGCTGTGATGCATATTCATACAGAGCAGGTGCTGGGGTCCTATTTCACACACACAAAAGTCTGAGCCCCCAATTAAGATCAATTAAGACCACAACTAGGCCTCAAAGAAAACCCCCTTTTATATTCTAAATCTAATTCTCCGTAGTTTCCATTCATGTTACCAAGTGTTGAAGTTCTGCCAAACCTGCTAATGGAAGGTGAAAGTTGCACTGCAATAGATCATGGTAGTTAAGTTAAGGCCAGAGTACCCACGGAGCAGAACAAGTAGTACAAAGTACATACATATTTACTGGAATCAGAGGATACCAGGAGTTCTGGTGTTACATGTGACTGAAACACAGCTGTGTTTGTACTAAAGCTCTAAAAAGAAAAGTCACATAAATTCCCATTAATGACCACGTTGTGACGAAGTCTTGTGACGTTTTAAGCCTGAGGTTTCAGGAGTTCCTAATGCGTATACAAGAAACCGTATAAGAAACTACCTTGGTCGAGTGGAGACTCCAGGAAATACATGGAAGTAGCTTCGAAACAGGTGTTTCTGTTGGTGCAGAGTATAATATCTGAAGCACGAGGGTATCTTTTACTCAACTCCTTTGCAGTTCATTTAACCAAACATGTAATAGAGGAGATGAGAAACCTCACTATATCTGTACAAATAGTACCTGAACTCAGTGATATTTAGCTAAAGATATCTTAAACATTGGTAAGTTTGGGCTTTTTTTCTCTAAATACCACAGGATTAATTTCCATGACCTTTAAATTAACTTTTTTTCTCTCTAAATGCCACAGGATTAATTTCCATGACCTTTAACTGCAGTGAGAGGGCAGGAAATTGTAAGCAAAAACTAGGTCATTCCCTAAGAATTACCCGATTCCAGATGAAACTATTACATTTTCTTTGACTAGTTTTCCAAACATCCAATAATCAATGACTAAAACATCTTACATTTTTACATTATTACATTATTAATCATTAAATATTTCTTAAAAATATATTTGGCGACAGAGGTTCTGACAAATGCAGTGCATACTAGCAGGTATTTCACTTATTTGAGATGATTTGTGAGAGGAAGACACCTGAACTTTTGGCGTTTTGTACGTAGATAACGTCATAAAGTCTTTTTTATGCCTCACTTTGTATTTGCAACCTCAGGTGAAGCACTCTTTCTGGCTAAGAGTCGCTCGTTAGAGCTGACAGATAAATGAGTTGGGGTTGGATGGGAGTCGAGGGAAAGGAGAAATATGTCAGAGCCCCCTCTCATGGCTGCGGGCTGTTTATAGTTTGATGTCATTGATTATCCTGCTCACTGGGGACCACACTCTGCAGCAGTTTGTCAACAAAGCATCTGCGGGGGGAAATAAATTGTTTGTAATTGCTCACTTTAGCAGATATGAGTACACTGCCAGGATATCTACTATCTACAGATACTGTTTAGTAAAGGTCAGACGACCATGGGGAGTAGACTGGTGGAATTTACTTAGGTTGGGAGGCTTGAAGTTGGGGTGAGAGGTCATCTCTTTTGTTTGGCTTTCTTTCAAACCCCACCGCCCCTCTTTAACAATTCAATGACTGAAAGGGAACCCAAATCTATTCTGCAAGAGAATGAGTATCTGTGCATATTACAATATATGCATTATGATTTCATATATATTTTTGAAAATCCTTTGGGCAAAAAGACTATAAACGCAATTCTGACGATTTCCAAATGAAATGAAAATAAAATGCAGATACTATGTGAACAAAAACAAGTTGTGTTAAAACAAGAACGCTGACAAACAAAGGAGGAATGATGTGTGCCCCCATGTGGATTGGTAGTGAGTGGTATAAGGTTTGCACACAGTTAATTGAATCTCACAAGTAGCAAAAAAGAGTTTAGGTAGGACACAGATGGACAACTTAGCAACAAAGATGTTCAGCTTATTGCCCAATTCACCACTGCCAATTTGAGCACAAATGTGTTTTGCTTTGAAGGGGAGGAACCAGCTTCCAAAAAAAAAAAGGAAAGTGCGTGAACATCAACCAGCTGCAGGAGCACAGGGGCAGATCAAATTCTCTCTGAACTTGTTTCAGGGCAGCATTGTCTGAATTCTCTGTGTTTGACTGTATCGGCTTTACACCAGAATCTTCAGCTGCTGGATCTGAACATCTAAGGTTTTTTTTATTATCTAACTGTAACAAGGTGCATAGATAAAAACAAAACAAACCTCTTTAGTGATTTGGACAACACCTAGAGGCTATCGTAAAAGGACATGTATACAAAACATACACTACTGAGGTTTGTAGGAGCCACCTGGTCAGATAAGAGACCTTGGTGGTTGAAATAATTAGCACATACGGGTGTGCCCGGGAAGATGGTGTGGAGCAGGGGAGCTTACTTATTCAAAGATGGTCAACAGATAATTATCTCTGAAGCAAGGGATTTTGTGACTGAAGAGACCAACTAGAACTTCCGTTTCTGACCTTCAGGAAGGTCAGTTTTTATTTAAATGCCGTCATCAGTGAGGTTTCATTATGACAATGCAAGTTTGATGCATTTGATGATAAGGGAATAAAAATTGGGAAAACTTTATAGCGCCCCCAGGTGAAACTGTTACAATTGGTCCTGCAAGAACATTTAAAGGAAGCGAGAGTGTGGTAAAAACACCAACAATATCATGGAATTGTGTATATTTGTACTTCACAGTGTTAGTAGATTTTAAGTTAGTAGATGTGCACATTCAAACTTAGAATTTCACAGAAAATGAAAAATGTGAAAATATAAGAAAATAAATTCCAATACTGAAAATTTGGCAGAATCTTGCAGAGAATAAAGTAAAAGCATTGAGCTTAGATTGTATAGTCTCTTTCTGAAACAAACCTGGCTGCTGTCAGCTGTTCTCTACATGATTATCTGTCACATGACACACGGTGTGGGCTCTAGCCATTAATACAATCACACCACAAGTCACTCACTAATTACCATAGCAATAGCCACCGTGGTGTGGTACAACACCAATATGAGACACACTCCAGGATCCCCGAGGTGATCCATCAGAGATCATTGACGACTACACCACAGATATCAGTCACTGAGAGCCAGCTGCTCGAGGTCATGCACAGTCACCTGAGGCTTCAGGGAAACAATGAGGTACAAGGGATTTGGGAGCAGGAGTGCAGAAATCGAAGTGTCACTATGTAGAATCAATCAGTGGACTTGGCAGAAAGAAGGTGACACACAAATCAATTCACCTGCAAACTCTAAAGTTTCTCTGTCACACCCTAAAGAGCCTGGCCACACAGTCTTCTAAAGTTTCTCTGTTACACCCTAAAGAGCCTGGCCACACAGTCAAGATGCTTAGCAGGGGTACTACATACAACATACTATATATGTATGTAAGTATATATGCACGGCTCGTTGTCCCATCCATCACTGCCACAGAAGTGCATTAATCCCTCTCTGCATTCTTGAGGATCGCTGACGCCAGATCAAGTTTGCCCTCCTGCCCTCTCCCACCCAGGGAGCAGGGCAAAACTCATTTCATGGAAGTCACAGTTTTTCTCTTCTTGAGTAAAAACTTAATTTTGGAAATCTATAGGAGGTCTGGAATATGTCATGAGGACTGAGGTATCGAATACGCCATATGATTTGACCCCAGATGGCAAAGGCACGAGAAGATGTGGTTATTTGAATATTTTCTAACTCCTTTTCTAAGACAAAGCTAACCAAGCTAGCCTAGCCCTCAGACAGACAACCACTACAGAGAAAGATGGAGCTTCTCCGTGCCAAAATAACTCATCACACTCATTCTCTGAAATGACATCACCATATTCAAAGATCAAGCTTATCTGTGTCTGTGTAGAACCAGCACCACTGACATACGATGTAGGTTCGATAAACAAAGATTGTCGTATTGGAAGCACAGAAACACAGGAAATCTAGGTGGAGGAGAGTGTGAGATTCCGTGGTTATTTTGTTCAAAATGCCAGAAACACGAGAGTAAGGCCCCATGACCTTTGCAACGACACAGAGAAGCCTCTGCAGACCGTTAAAGACAGGACAACTGCCTTGCAAAAGCTGTTCACATATTGTCAACAATCACAGCGCAGCACTGTCAGCACAACCCTTAAAACAACCCTTCTCAAGAAGCAGTGGTGGCCAGCCATGTAGGCGCTTCCAGGGTTGGATTTCACCTGCTGTCAATCCCAGGTCTGGCTTAAATAGGAAGAAAATCATGGGTAAAAAATTCATCCATATCACAAATGGAATTCACTGCTGAGTAAGTAACAAGCGTTCAGTGATTTTTCTTTTTTTTTCTTTTGTTAATGCAAATATGGCTAATTAAGGACATGGAATCAGGCTGAACTAGAAAGATTTTCTTGAAAACAAAAAAAAAAAAAGAGACAGCTTCAGAGCTTCAAATACAGAGATTATTGGTTCAGCACTTTCACTGACACATCAGTCAGGTCTGCTTGAACTGTAAAGTGACAGGCCAAAGCCTCAGTGGTGTGTTAACATCCACTCAGGGCGGTTAGGCCAGTCTGGACTTGTCTGATCGGTCTGATCCCTGACATCAAGGTTAAGACGGATAACAAAAGGAGTTGTTGTTTAAATAGCCATTAGAGGCCCCTACCTGGGGGCAATTACTGTCCACATTATAGCCTGTCCCTTTCAAATTAGCAGACGCCAATGCTAATGGTTAAGATGGTCGTTATCTGGCGAAAGTCGAGCCGTTGACATCGCATGCAGCTGCGTAATTTTGCATGAGATCCGTGTGTGCTGGGCAATTTGCATTTCACACACAGTGATCCTTTTTTTTTTTCAAGACTTTTTTTCTCCCTTGTCTCAAAACCCCCTCACACTTCAGGAAACGCCTGACGAGAGTGACTTCAAACACGGAAAAAAGATTCCTCTCCGCCACAAAGGGGAGATTATCTTATTCAAGGCGTGTTTCAACTACGTATGTTTGCTTTGCCAAGGGCGCTAATACATTCAGAGTCTATAGGTGTTCACAATGGAATCATTTGATAAAAGAGTAGACTAGCTTCAGTATTCTTGTCTCACTGCAGGTACGTGGTGAGCAGAGTGGTGCAGACCGCCTGTAGATGGTCTGATAAGGTGGTGGACTTGACAGCATCAGGTCACAGACCTACATCAGAGGTCTGTAAACACAGGACACAAGTCTGAACGACTAAACAAACCATTCATCTGGTAGAATCAAAACTGTTTAAATACGTCAAGCTGGATCTAGACACACATACACACAGTTCATAGATATGCTTACACAATCCTGGCATTAACAAGGAAGTAACAGATTTAATTTACCTAAATAACCACTCATATTTTGACATAAAGGTTAAAAAGAAATCTCTAAAAAAAAAAAAACTAGAAAAAAGGAAAAAAACATTCCTCGTTGCTGCCGAGCCGACAACTGATCAAAGAAACAAACAAACATCTAGAGTGTGAAGGAAATGACTGCAAATTTTCACTTACTGTTTACCCACATAAACACCCTCCTTACCCTACGGCAACTTCTCTGAACATGATTTTGATGCCCTAGTTTGGGAGCTGTGTGCACTTGTACAACATTTTTCTTCATGTGCATCTACTAAAATAACTGACGTAAATCATTTTCACAAGTACTATGTGTAGTTTTGGAGACTACTAATTGGTCAACTGTATACAAAAATGTTTCTGCATCCTATACTTTCAAAGATGATACATTATGAAATACTACAAGTACA